ACACTGTGAATTCAGTGGGCTTGGATTCATCAAATGGACGTTAAGATGGCCTTCTTAAATGGAGATTTGGAGGAAGAAATCTACATGGAACAACCTGAAGGGTTTGTGATTACTGGTAAAGAAAAGAAGGTATGTAGACTTGTTACGTCTCTTTACGGACTAAAACAAGCACCCAAACAATGGCATGCGAAATTTGACCAAACAATGTTGTCAAATGGGTTTAAGATAAATGAATGTGATAAAGATGTGTACATTAAAAATATTCCAAATCACATAGTCATTGTTTGCTTATATGTGGATGATATGCTGATAATGAGTAATGACGTTGCCAACATAAATGCGACTAAGCGTATGCTAACTAGCAAGTTTGATATGAAGGACTTGGGAGTTGCTGATTTAATTCGGGGGATTAAAATCAATAAGACTCCTCAAGGTCTGGCATTGTCACAATCTTATTATATTAAGACAGTACTTGAAAAATTCAAGCGCTTAGGGTTTAAAGTTGCAAAGACTCCAGTTGACGTGAACCTTGCATTAGCAAAGAACAAAGGCCAAAACATATCACAATTAGATTATACTCGTATGTTGGGATGCTTAATGTATATCATGAATTGTACACAACCAGACATAGCTTGTGCTATAAGCAAATTGAGTCGATACACGAGAAATCCAGGTCAATCTCATTGGATGGCAATGAAACGAGTTATGGGATATTTAGAACATACCCAGGACTTTGCTTTGCACTACAGTAAATATCCTGCGGCGATTGAGGGATATTGTGATGCAAATTGGATCACCGGTTCAACTGACTCTAAGTCCACAAGTGGATATGTATTCAATATTGGTGGAGGAGTGGTATCTTGTAAGTCGGCCAAGCAAACTTGTATTGCCCGCTCTACAATGGAAGCTGAATTCATAGCCTTAGATAAAGCCGGTGAAGAAGCTAAATGGCTCCGGAATTTCTTGGAAGACATTCTATTTTGGCCCAAACCGTTGGCTCCAATATGCATAAATTGTGATAGTCAAGCGGCAATTGGAAGGGCTGGGAGCGTGTTGTATAATGGTAAATCTCATCATATACGACGAAGACATAAAACCATTAGGCAATTACTCTCTACAGGAATTATCACGATTGACTATGTAAAGTCAAGCGATAATGTATCGGATCCACTTACAAAAGGCCTAACTAGAGAGGTAGTTGAGAAATCATCGAGGGGAATAGGACTATGGCCGAGAACAAGCCATTGTGGCGGTAACTCTACCTAGAAGACTGGAGATCCCAAGATCTAGGTTCAAGGAGATCAAACAAAGTCATTAATGACGGTTCAACATTGTCAACTAAAAGTTTGGTCCATTCTCGTGATGAGATAATGTTTAGTACCAAGGATAAAGCATTAAGGCTTTTTAATGATTTCTAAATTTGATACAGGGTATATCAAATAGTGTATCTACGGGATGACACGTTTAGGAATCACCTATGTAAGTGTGAAGTGTTAGCCGCTTCAAGGAGAATTTTGCAAGGCCAATTCTCTACGCACTTATGAAACCAGGCAGTGTTCATGGCTGAAACGAACACAACAATGAGAGCCAAAGACGGTTAAGGGTTGGTTGTGTGACTTATGGTTGTCTAGGTATATACCAAAGTTCGACGGTTCAAAGATATCAAATCTACCGATTGACCGAATATATCCGACATAAGTTCACTACGAAAAGTTCAAAGGGAAACCTACTTATCCTGATACAATTAATCCTTACTTGCGAATCACACAGTTTTTCATGCATATTTCCGTGATATAGCCATTCCCCATTCATGTGGGGGATTGTTGGGGATTTTTAAGCTTAAATGTAGCTTAAAAGAGGGTGAATGGGAAATGGAGGGAAATTAAAAATATTTGAGTTTCCCTCCTTGACAAAGGGATATTGTCCCATATTGGAAGAGGAAAAGATTTTGATGGGTATATATACAATTGCACTTCTTCTAGCTCTTAAAGAGTTAAGAAGAAGGCAAGCCTCGCGCCGTCGTCGCTCGCTCGGCTCGGCTTCGGCTACGGCTTCGGATTGATTAATTTTTTGGATTAAATTTATTTACTAATAATAAATATTAACAGAATTGTTATTAAATATCCGATTTTTTATAAACAGAATATTAATATTAAATCCAAACGTAACAGTTTGTTTCTCAATAACCATCTATACCATTCAAGTGCTTCACCGTCAAGATAAAATGAAGCCATAGTGAGTCTCTGATCCTCTTCGATTTTATAGAAATCGAAATACTGCTCCGCTTGAAATATCCACGATTCCGGATTATCACTTCGAAATCGACCAAACTCCACTAATGCTGGCTTGTGGCGGAGAGTGGTGGTCACTGGTATATGGTCCTGACAAGACCTCTCGATGAAAGCATCAATGTAACGATTGAATTGTTAACTCACAAGAATAGGAACTGGCAGATTGTATTGATTCAATCAATAAATTACAATGAAGCTTTAAGGGAAAATTGCAATAAAACAGTAAAAAAGTAAGAGAAGAGAGAAGAAAGAAGGGATGGGAAAGAGAGAAAATCAGACTGAGATGAGAGAATAAAGACTCAACATAACAGACTGCATACTACATTCACTAATCATTCTTTTATACCATCACGCTATCATCACCCCTTCTCCACAACGAAATCAGTTAGTTTCTTGGTTGGCACTCTCACGTGTTTACTTCTCCGAGTAGCGTCATGCTCTTGCTGATTTGTGTTTGTCCACGTGCCTGTTCAAGTGACTGTCCTTACTGGCAAGTAGGTGTCCTCCAAGTCAGCCATATGGGTCACAACATTTTCCGTTTGTACCCTTGTGCTCGGTATGGTAGAAATTTTCCTTGATGAAATTATTTTGAGTGTTTGTTTATCTTGAATTTCGAAATATATTTCCTCCACGGAAAATATTCTCCACCAAAGTGGAAAATTATTTTATTCTCCTATGCACTGAAGTTATTTTTCTTTGTAAGCACTTAAACTTTTACCTTGATAATTTGTTTCAAGCATTACTTAGACATAATGTGTTAAGCTTTTACTACTAAAGAACATCATCAAAATAACCGTCGATATTTCTTCCCTATATTTTATACAACTTCTTGTACAATTACCATGTAGTCAGTAGTATCACTTAATTTTACATCTAAACAGACATTGGGAAACGATTTAAGATGATTTCAGAAGTTAAAATATTTTTCTGAAAACACATATTCCTTCAAGCCAGTTGCCTAGGAATATAAAATTGCAAATTACTCTGTTGCTTCAGAGCTATTTCCTGTGTCTCCCCACCACACTAAATAGTGGCCACGGTAGCTAATTTTCTGGAGTGATATTTGAACGAAATTTTTTTAATTTTTTTCGAAATCAGCATTTGTTCATAAAATTTTCAATTTTCACTTGAAAATGCATTTTAGAAATTTTCGAAAATTTGAAAAACTGTAAAAAGTTATTTTTCAAAATTTTTACTCAAATCACTCACAAAACTTTAAAAACAACCCAAACTGAAATTCATGTCCAAATACAACTCTAAATTTCAAATACCATTTTCACTTAAAAAAAAATTCACAATTTTTTTTTTAATTTTACAATTCTTATGTCCAAACGCCTACTAAATTTCACCAGTGATCAACACATCACGGACCAAAATATGATAATGCAAGGTCAAGGTACAAAATTCAAAAGTCCGGGCGGTTTGGTTCCCTTGAAAAGTTCCCAAAATCCTAAGGTTCATTCCATTGACTCAAAACTCCTTTTGGACATAAAACTTGGAATTTATTTTTTCAAATTGTTTTTGAAAATGTTATTTGTTCATGGCACTTGACCAGTTTTTGAAAAAATAAAAAAGTAAAATTTTTCAAGTTTCAAAAATTAGTTTGGGCCAGTTTTGGGTGGGAAGATTTCTTCCACTCACAAAACTTCAACTTTTATTTGAATAAAATGGATGTTCAAACACAACTTTGACTTTCAAAAGCAATTTTTCAATACAACTTCCATAATTTTTTTTTTCCAAATTTTAACCAAATCTATGTCCAAACACCAGCTAATAAGATAAGCGGGTATTGTAATTTGTAAATATCATCAAAGTGTAAATTCTCTAAATATTGCTATAGTATTTTGGAAAACTTACACAAATATCCCAAATAAGTCTCAACTTACCAACCTCTAGCCATTGATCATAGACTTATCAAAACTAGCCAAGCACATATAAAAATTGAAAAACCAAATAAATAAGGTTCTTTCTCTCAAAGAACCACATGCAAAAATCACCTTCCATATTTTTAAGCGTGATTAGCCACATTAGGTGCAAGACAAAAAGAAAATTTCATGGATGAGGTAGCAAATAAGGTGATGAAATAAAAAAAAATATAATATTCCAAAAATCTAAGTAGAAAAGGAACTTTTTCCATGGGTATAGTTGAAATTCATTGAAAACATATAGATAAGTCAATATACAAAATTTGAGGAAAATTGGAGGTGATTTGGACTGGTCTTGTATCAAAATTCGTAATTAAATCGAGTTCAAAAAATTCTTCTGCGACACATGTATCTCACACACAGGTATACATGGATATACATGTGATACACAATTGATACAAATATGATACATATGTGATACACAAATGATACACATATCATTTTTTTATGTTCAGTTTTTAATTCGAATTTTCAATTCAAATCACCTCAAAACTTCACAAAATCATCTCAAAACTGAGATTCAAGCTCCTTAAGATGTACCCAATCTATTCTAATAACACCCACTCAAAAGAAAGCAAAAATTTGATATTTTTTTGCTACAAATAGCTAATTGTCTAATATTAGTAATATTTGGCTAATATTAGTAATATTTTATGAATTGACTAATTTTTGTAATGAGCTACTTATAAATGGACATAGCTGGTAGTTGCCCTAATATTTTTAAGTGGGCTGTCATGTAGTAGTAGAGGCCCAATTATATTTTCCAAAAATAATATAGGCCCATTTCAATGTTTCTCGTGTTCGCGTATCTCCATTGCACGACAGAGTCCTCGGAACGCTCCAGTGACCGGTGAACTGTGATCTCCGGTGGACCTTTGATTGACTGAGGTAACATTTCAAAGCAAGCTTGCTACGCTATTGTTCTCATCCCTATTAGTTTCTCTTTTTACCATATAAAGGAAGTGCTTAAGCTCCTTTTGTGGCAGAGATATATGTAAAAAAAAAAAAGGGAAATGTTTCTTCATTTTATAATTTTATTTGATGAAAATTGTTGATATTTCACTGTTTTGGTGATATTTTTTTTTTTTTTTTTTTTTTTTTTGCTTTATACTATAAAGCAGCGTTTTTGAAGATTTTCATTACATCTGAGTTGTTCCATGAAATTCGTCTGCGGATGTCCGTTTTCTAGTTTTGTGGCAGATTTAATTTGCTTCTAGAAATGTTCTTCGTTTATTAGTCTTAGGTTGACAGCTATCTACTGTTTTGGTGAGTGCTAGTTTGTGCGCTTTGGAGCAGTCTTCATTATCATGCCTCGGAGTTGCTCGACGAAATTCCTTAATGGATTTATTTGAATGTTATGCTTCTGAAATGAGAGTATGCTTCAATATACTAACTCGAGTAGTTGGATAATTCTTTCTCTTTGGCAAGTTAGCTGAATGTTATTTCTGCTGACTTTAACACGTTTGTAAAACCCAAAACACATCTTGAGAATCCGCTTAATCTGTAATACTTGAAGATCACCACACAGAGTCCTCTTAAACTAGCCCACTTCAGTAGCTAGTCATGCCTTTGGATCTTGAGAAGGTTTAGAAACGATTGTTGTTGCTCACCATTCGAGCTTTTTAATTGGTTGTATATCTAATTGTAGGAGTTAATTATTTGAAAACCCCCTTCATTGTATTACATATCTGCATCGGAAGAAACCAGGGGCGGATGTAGAGCAAACTTTACGGGTTCCCGTAAACCCAGTAACTTTTGCATAAACCTTGTATTTATACTAAAAATATTATTAAAAGTATACGAATATTTAGCTTGGAACCCAATTTGTTGGTCCAGTTATCATGAAGATTAACTTGAAATTGTTATAGGAACCCATAAACTTAAAATTCTGGTTTCGCCTCTGGAAAAAACCCCTGTTTGTTCCCTCTGCTCTCTACCCCCACCCTCGAAAAAGTTCTTCCCCTTTCTTTGGATCAAATAGGAAAATCACTTTGGTTGCCTTCCCTTCCTTGACCAGTTTTCCTTTGTTTATGCAGTGACTATTCACATTTTTAGTCACACAAGTGGCATTGCATATCAGCATATCCTACTCAACTGTTGTAGTTGTTTTGACCAAGTATTAGTCACACACCATTAAGTTAGATGTCCTAAATCTCATATTAATAGTTGGTATGCTTGCCTCCCTTAGTGGAAAAGAGTGATCTTGTTGTATTTTTGTCTTGATTTTTTCTTGTTTGGCATGTTCCTGTTCTATTATTGTGTAGGTTTTTTTTTCTTGTTTGGCCTACTAATGTAGTTTTCTTCATGTCATATCCTAGTTCAGCTGATCGATTAAATTCATCCAATGGAAGCTAAATTCTTCCGCTTTCTCAAGATTGTTGGAGTCGGTTTCAAGGCTAGAGCAGAATCTGAAGGTCGTCTCTTGTACCTTAAGCTGGGTTACAGCCATGAGGTTGAAATGACCGTGCCCCCTGCAGTTCGTGTCTTCTGTTTCAAACCCAATGTGATATGCTGCACTGGGATTGACAAGTATAGGGTACATCAGTTTGCTGCTTCTGTGAGGAGTTGTAAGCCTCCTGAAGTTTACAAAGGCAAAGGTATAATGTACATTGATGAAGTGATAAAAAAGAAGCAGGGGAAGAAATCAAAATGAGAACCTTTATTTGATGGTTCTTTCTTGGGCTTGGGCTTTGTTCTCCTGATGATGCTGGACAATTTCTCTTTAAGCATCCTTCCTATTGTAATTTTTTCTTTAGCTGCATGAATCCTTTAAAAGATAGTGGTTGAAGGTCTTCTACCATAGTCGCAGAAGTTGCTAAACATCTCAATGACTATTCCTGTATTAGCTTTTTCACCCTTTCAACAACTATAGAGAAGTGATGGATGGCGTTGATGAAATGTGGGTATTTGAATAAATGCTCTGCCCAAATAATTGCTTTCTTGGAACATTAGCGTATGATCTTAGGTTGCCTGAATATCTCAAATGTGAAGTTTAGAAGATTGATTCTTGTAGGACTTGTAGATTAAAATGTGTATTTGTGCTCCGTTATATTGAATTGCAGGCTGTTGTCTGCTTCTTCCACAATTTGATTAAATGTTCTATGCAAAGCATTGTTTTCATTGTTGGACGTGATCTTAGGTTGTCTGAGTGGTTCTCAAATTCAAAGGTTCCAGTCTGATTGATTTCTATGGGACTTGTAGTTTGAAATTTGTGTTGATTAATTATGCTTGGTGACATATTTAATGAAGTGCAGTGTGTGCTTCTTCTTAATTTATCTTCTCCCTGCCGCCTATAAACTTGTCATATTTGCTTTGCAGTTGTCATGAATTTAGAATATGTAATTGCTTTTTAGACAAAATAAAAAAATTTGTTTGTGATTTTAGTGTTTAATCCATGTATTACTAATATTTTTATTTCACATTTTCCCGTTAAAAAAATACATAGGTTCCACATAACTTGTGTGTATATATGTAACTTGTGTGTACATAGGTTCCACTTCTCTTGCTATGTGACGAATATTTTCTTTGTCCAAAACGAAAAAAAAATTAAAAAAACAGGTCGCCCTTAGAAAAAGCGACTACCCTAAAATATATTTAAAGCAAAACCGCTGTATTTCCTCATCCCCCTTTCAATCGTTTTTCCATTTCTCAGCAAACCAAATAGATTAAATCAAGCAGAACTCGAAACTTCAACAAGGTTGAAACTCACTCATAAAGTCTTTTAAAAGGAAAATCGTCTTTTTGTCCCTGATTCTGATGAGATTTAATGTAGAAGAAAAATAGAGGTACGACAGAATCCAGAGATAATACTTGATAACACAAAAAAAAAAATGTAAAGATTCACGAAGAGCTAACAAGCTGTATAATGGTAGTAAATTTCATTTATGGATAAAGACACGCATGACCATTTGCAAAGAGATGCAAAATACACAGTCAATATTAATCTTTGGAACCTTTTAGGTTGCCTGAAGGTATACTGTGATAGTTTAGAGTATTCTGATTGATTTCTTGTAGGAACATGTAGATTAAAATGTGTATTTGTGCTCCGTACATTCATATTGAATAGCAGACTGTGCTTCTTCCACAATTGTATTAAAGTAATACTCTATGCAAAGTATTGTTTTCATAGGTGTTTTGAGTAGTTTTCAAATTGCCATTCTGATGTATCTCTGTCGGAATTGTATAGTTTGAAATGCATGTGTACCGTTGACTATATCTGGTGACATATATAACGAAGTGCAGCTTAAGCGCTTATCGTCTGTGATTTTGCGATTTTCATGAACAATAGGTTGATTTCATCTACTTTTATACATTGCAATTAATGCCATCAGAGCTTTTACATTCTTGTGTTAAAACTTCATCCAAGTTTTCATAATTTTGTTATGATGTGGTCAGAAATTCCTCGTATTCGGAAGTTTAAAGCAAATGATATGGGAAAGGAAAGTAGTAAATTTCTTCAAGCTATGTGCCTTTCAATAATGCATTGTGAATACAAGTATCCAATAGGAATAGCTAGAATTTTTCTGTTAAAAGCAAAAGACACATATTTTTTACAAAGTACATCTTAAAATATATTTTTACAAGAGAGGACTGAGCACTTCTAATTCAACTCCAATATTGGTGGCAACTTATACCGACACATAGGACAACTTGGGTTTTTTAGGAGCCATGTCTCAATGCAGTCAAAATGAAAAGTGTGCTTACAAGGCATGCTGTAAACTTCCGAATCAGGTAAATACCTCTCCATGCATATTGAACATATCTCTGTCAAATCATGGTTTGGAACATTTACTTTCTGTAAAAACTGAATTATTAATCTTACTGCAGGCAGTGACTTAAATTCCCTTCTAGCTTTCTCAATTAGAGACTGTATTAGTTCCCTTTCGTAATTCTCATCAAAACACCTGTTCCTCCATTTAGATGTGCCTCTGATCACAAGTTCTTCTACGTAATATTCTATCCATTGAAATTCTTCATACAAAGATGATCCCTGTCCCAATCGCTTGATTTTGTCATAAACTTCTTCCCAAAGTATTTCTGCCCAACATTCTCTCTCTTTTGCAAGAATTCTTGCTTTTGTAAGTTCAAATTCTTGAGGAGATACAGAGACTGGCTTAACAAAGAACAGCTTTATGTAAACTGTGTCATCATCTTTGAAAGGAGGTGTAGCATTCTCCACCCTACGAGCAAACTCCAAAATATGTTTGATCAAATCATCTTTGTTCTCCAAAATTTTGTCAGTTAGATCCCACTTAATCCCTTCTATTGAGTAAGGAAAATCTGTTCCCAAAAGTAATCTGTTAATAGTTTCCTCTGATAATGACTCATACTTACAAGCACACCTAGTACCAAAGTTGAACTCTTCTATAATGTTCTCACCACAAGCGTAAGTATGCATGGCTAATAGATTAATATCCAAGTTAAAATTGTGACCTGAAGTGGCTGAAGCAGGAATATTTCTTATAATATTATCAAATAGGGGGGACACATAAATTTCACTGGTGGTTAATGGCTCCATTTCGTGAAACTAACCAAAAGCTTAAAAGTAGGTTCTGAAAATTGAGTTTGGCCATTTGTGTAGCCTGCATTCGAATTTATAGAGACAAAGGCTCTCTCTCCCTAGGGTTGATCTTTTGTTTTTTGTGTTGGATTAGGATTCCTTAAGTCTAAGGATTTGTGTAGTACAGTTTATAGTCATCGACCATATTTCCTTTTCCTTTTCGATTTCGGTTTCCCATTCCCTATAGACTTGTGAACCAAATTTACAAAATATGGTAATTAGTTAATTACCACAAGTGTACGGACTACAATATTTGTGTTTTTCCTTTTCTTTCTTAAAATAAGTTTTTTTCCTTTGATAATTTCCTAAATGGATAAGGGCCAAATATACCCCTGAGAAAATGTTTAAATATATCTCTCGTTATACTTTGAGTCCAAATATACTCCCTGTCGTTATACTATTGGTTTAAATATACCCCCTTCCGTTAAGTTTGTCTAAGGTGGACATCTAATCCTATATGGTACGGAAAAGGGGTATATTTAAACCAATAGTATAACAACAGCGGTATATTTGACCCAACGAATAACGAAGGATATATTTAAACATTTTCTCATAGTACATGAGCATATTTGGCCATTTAGGAAACTAGAAAAGTAAAAACTCATTCGCCTATTGGTTTAAATATACCCTCTTCCGTTAAGTTTGACCAAGGTGGACATCTAATCCTATGTGGCACGGAAAAGGGGTATATTTAAATAAATAGTATAACAACAGGGGTATATTGATCCAAAGAATAACGAAGGTTATATTTAAACGTTTTCTCATAGTACATGAGCATATTTGGCCATTTAGGAAACTAGAAAAGTAAAAACTCATTCGCCTATTGGTTTAAATATACCCCCTTCCGTTAAGTTTGACCAAGGTGGACATCTAATCCTATGTGGCACGAAAAATGAGTATATTTAAACAAATAGTATAACAGCAGGGGTATATTTGACCCAAAAAATAACAAAGGTTATATTTAAACGTTTTCTCATAGTACATGAGCATATTTGGCCATTTAGAAAACTAGAAAAGTAAAAACTCATTCGCCCCTCCCCCCTTATATTACCCATCCTAACAAACATATTCCTTCACTTGTTAAAAATGTCATGTTTGACCCTTTATTAGACTGATTCATCTAAGACCATCTTTCTTTTTTCTACCACACCAAATAATCGTCAAAAAGATTGGTCCTCCATCGTAACAAATTGGGGTATTCAAATTTCAAACCCTTTATTTAAAATACGTCAAAATGCGTAGTAGTATTAAATTCAGGGACCAATTTGTACTTTCACATTTGAAACTTATAAAAAATAAAATAAAATAACGAAAAATTGGCATCCTATAACAACACATATCAAGAATTGATAATTTTTTAGGTTTATATTAGGTTTGTCAAAGATATCTCCAAACAATTGGCATTATATAGTCAAATCTTAAAAAAAAACTACTCTCCTTTATATTCTCTCTAAAAAAACAACTACACGCTTATTTTGGCTTCCCATCCATTTTCTCTCCTTGTATTTATTCTTCTATCTCTTCTCTTTTCTCTCATAGTTTAGCAAAAATTCTTGCAAATTATGCAAAAAAAATCCGTGGGATGAAAAGGTAAGGTTGATCTCACATCAGAGAAAATCAGAAGCAAAAACTAAGAGAGAAAAAATATATTTCAACTTTATTTTTCTTCTCTCTTCTTTTTTTGGTTGGATTGAATGAGTGGGTGTGATTGAAATTATTTGAAAATACCTAAACGAGGCTATATACAAAATCTGAACAACATTAGCAAAAACTAAGAGAGAAAAAATATATTTCAACTTTGTTTTTCTTCTCTTTTCCTTTTTTTTGTTTGGATTGAATGAGTGGGTATGATTAAAATTGGTTGAAAATGCCTAAACAAGGCTAGATATAACATTTGATCAAGATTAGAAGTGATTTAGACTGGTTTCAGGTAAAAAGTCAGACCTAAAAATCCAACTGCGACATGTGTATATCACGTTGTATATCGTGTACATCAGTGTATATCACACACAAGTTTTTAAGGATGTCTGTGTATATCACTTTGTATATCGTGTATACAACAAAAGTTTCTTATGGACGCCCGTGTATATCACGTTGTATATCGTATATATAACACAAATTTTTATGGATATACACAGACACACATAATATACATGAGATATCATTGATATACATAGAGATATACACGGGTTACAATAGGGGATACACATGTGGAGTCGTCTTGAACTTGAGTTTTCAATCTGAAATCTGTTATACAAAGAAGGAAAATAAAATTTTAATAAATATTTTTGATATATACATTATTATTATGTTATACACTGAGATATACAAATAATATAATTATTAATTATTGATCAAAAAAGGATTTTTGTTTGATATAGCATGTTTAAGCAAGTTCTAAAATATAAAAATAATAAATATAATTGCGGGAGTAAATAATATTTTGGTATATAAAGAAAATTAATTTTTGATATACACAAAGAAGAAAAATAAACTTATGATATCTATTTTGGTATACACATATCTGATGTGCTATACACTGTGATATACAAATAATACAATATTTTT